TATACCTCTCAAAATAAAAAATTTTACTCCTAAAGGAAATAAAATGTTTGGAAAGCTGAAGTTGACCCTTTAAAAAATGCTACCACATTGCATTGCTTGACTTGTGTAGTTGTTAGGAATTTGAATTCAAACTTTGCACTCTTTAAAAAGTATTGGCAATACCTGTAAAACCAAAAGTTCTAATTCAGGGAGGGAGGAATTTCTTTATTCCATGTGGGCAGAATACATTTGACATAAACAATTTTGGTTTCTGCCCCATAATACATGGATTTTTGTGGGGGATGTGAGACAGGAAGTCCAAGTAAGAAATCTGCTTAATTTAGAAATTAGAGTACTTTAGTGAAAGATAGATTGAGAACAAGAATCTCACAACCAAGTTATTTATATTACATGTAGGATGGCCCTAAATTTAGAAAATTATGCTATTCTCTTCCTCCTCACTTCACATGACTCAGCAATGACTGCTTGTGTATAAGACACTGAGAGATAAAATTAACTCTGACCTAGCTCCTAGCATCAGCTTTTAAAATCTGTCTTATCACTTATTCAGGAATTCCTTATCTATAAAAGGGAAGCTGGGCTGAATTCATAGCGAACTGGTTCAAAAATGTACATAAATAGGGAAAAAGACAAGATATTGAACCAAATAAATAGTCCTCCACAGAAGCAAAAAAATTAAGTTGATAAAATACACAGAATATGAATTTATATCAGATTATTAAGAGGCATTGAGTGACACTTATTTCACATAACAAACATTGATAGAGCACTTTTGTAGGGAGAAAGGCAACACTATTCTAAGTGCTATTAACATCTTTATTTTCCATATGAAGAAACTGAAAATTAAGGGACTTGCCCAAAGTAAATGTAAGATCCAGGAATGAAGTGTGGCTCCAAAATCTATACTCCTAACTGCCATAGAACATAGCCTTCCTGCAGATTATATTTCTAATTCTGTAAGAATGGGAATAGCTTTGTTTAATGGACTTTGTTTTTAGTGACAGGGTAGTATGGTTTTCCCTTAGATTTCAATCGTTATATTTAGTTTCTTTCTGAAAAGATTACAAGTAAAAATATCTTTTCAAGGGAAAGGAAGAAAAAAAAATCTCATACAATATTCCAGAGTCACAGGAACCACACAGGAGGGAAGCAGAGTATAAAATGGGAAAGGCTGACAAACGTAACATGGAACACTCACTTTGGAGCAAGTGCAGACCAGCCAGAAACAAACCCAGGATCTCGGGTAAACCACAGCAGAGCCATTACGATGAAGAGGACCAAGGTCACAATTTCTTGATACCTGTGGAAAAATTCCAATGCCATAATTTCTTATTTTCTCAGTCAAGACATTTATAGAAATTCCCTGAGCTATTGCCAGGAGTAATCTTAGCAGAACACTAAACACTGTAAAAGTTGCATGTGTCAATCATTTGAGAGCATCAGTGCAGGTAGAAAAAACCTTACTCCCCTGTGGGATCTGTCAGCTTTTCATTCTACATGGCAAATTTTAGTTAGACAACAGGATGTATTTTGTTATGTTGAGTTATATCCCCAATGCTTAGCAATTTGGGGGCCCTAATCAAGTGTTATAAATACCTTTCAGGCACTTAAGTGCTGATTTGCTTTTAAACAGCTGCTTGCAGTAGAAGCAGCAAATATCCGTGTGCATGTGTGTGTGTGTGTGTGTGTGTGTGTGTGTGTGTGTGTGTGTGTGTGTGTGTGTGTCTTACCTCATTGGCCCGAGTTTTTGGTATTCATTCTTAATCACCTCAGCACAAGCTTTTTGTTGGATTGGTTTGGTTTTGTCACATTTGAACATCTTGAAACTGAAAAAATAATTAAGCCTATTATTTAAAGAATTCTTTCCCTATCACCCTCCTTTATGAAAGACATTTTTTGTGAAATCTTCATAAAATATGAATCTCCCTGCTAATAACAGAAATCTGTGCTTTTTGCCTATATTTCTAGCTCTTTCTTTGAATATCCTGTCCTCTCTTTTCCATTTTTGCCTGGTTTTCTCACTTTTCAAGGCTTAATTTCTGTTGCATATTTTCCATATCTTCCACCAATCTCTTCTTTTTCCAAGTCCATTTGCACCACTGGAATTTTGCCATGCGCTGCTTATCACTAACTAACTCTTTATTATATACTTGACCATTATATTATATTTTCAAAGCATGCTTATGATATATCTTGGTTGCTCATTGTTGCACACAGACAAGTTTTATCCCACTAGTTAGATAAATTATCTGAGGGAAGGATAGTGACAGTGTCATAGATGTTTTCTCTGGCCCCGCATCTCTTAGAACTGGCGTGCACAGTAAATACTTGACTCATCAACTCAATAGTACCTTTGACAACTTTTTAAAACAGTTGATGTCAGATCCATCAATTTTCACAAAGGATGCTAAACTTGAGTTAGATATTAAGGCAGGGAAGTCACATATACCGATCATAGTCAGAGTCCAGACTAGGTCTATTCTCAGAAGTAAAACCAACTCTATTAAATTTTTTTTCTTCAAGTTTCTCCACCCCTAATAGTACCCACGATATAATCTTTCAGTTTATTTCCAATCGTAACTGCCACTCTTTATTATTTTTTACTGCTTGTTTAGTGACCTCTTTCCCCTGTGACTAATTTTTCTATCCTGAAGTCCAGGGTCTTCAAAACTTTGGACTGTTTTTGTAAAATACTTCCCTAGATGTAGATTTGTAAAAATTCCTCCAGAGGAAGAAACAAATAGGAAAATGGCCAGATTCTTATGGATTATGTCTTGGAACTTTTATGAGTAGCTCAGTTAGTTTACATTATATGTAGGTATAGAAAGCAGAGACATTTTCTTCTGTAAAATTGCTGGGGCAAACATGGATATTTATGAGGGAGTACATAGGAAGACTGGGGTGTTGGGCGAGTAGTTATCTCTCAGTTACAATTACATTTGTTCCTGTAACTCTGCTATTTACCTTTGTTTGGACTGTGATTCCCTTTGAAGGAGCAGAATTTCCACAATTCTTAAGCCATTCATCCTATACATTCATAATCACCCTCATGCATACACCCCCACACTGAACATAAGTAGATGGACATTGTTGCATTTATAATCAATGAGGGATCAATGAGAAATTTCTTTTTACAATCGCTATTATATTACTGACTAGTACCAGTTTTGGAATTTTGTCCCTTGTTGCAATACAAATACTAAGTATCATAATAAATATAATATAACTAATCCACAGGCCACCTAGAGAACCACCTGTAGAAGAGGAAAGTATAGTTAAAGAAAGAGATAAAGTATCTTTAGAAACTACTTTGTACCCAGGATACCACATACATACTTTGCCATTTTGGTTGCAGACAATAAATAGTTAAGTCAAAAGCCAAATTGGCTTTGCTGCAGATGAAGGTTAATGCCTTCACAAAGGAACCGATGGAGCATATGACAATGCATCAGCCTCTCCATTTAAATAAGTTCAGTGGCACTGACATATGAACTTCTCTTCCCAACTATGCTGGAGTCATTTATAATGGATGAGTTAACTGTGTTAACAGCCGACACACTAATCAAAATGTATGCTAGTCCGCCAGGGGAGTAACTGGTAATTTCTGTTTGTCGATCTAAAACCTCTGGAGGTCAACATCCTGGTAGACTGAAAAGAACACTGAAAAATTAGCTGGAGCGTGAAGCCTTGGAGTGTCTAACCAATAGTGGACACCAAGGGGACTGTTTAAACATGCCACTGATCATGATTTATGGACTTTGCCTAATGTATGCACTTCACAGGATATTTTTCCTCATGGAAAGCACAGCTCAATATATTTATTTGTCCCTTATCTTCTTAATTTCTCCTTTAGAAGTGGTAGGCCATTTTGAAATAATGAAAATGGCTTCACATATATTTTATAATGTCATTATATGTAGCAACAAAGAATGAAACAACTGTGGGCCTGTGACTCCACCGACTTGAGATTCCTGTCCCCTGTATCCTGCATTGCCACCTGTACAATCAAATAGGCCCTCAAAGGCTTGGCTTTCCTGGAAGAGGCACTTAGTATGCATCTGGCCTCTACTCATTGATGCCCACCTGCTGAAGTCAGTGACATTCTACACATTTGCCTCAACAGGAGGACTGCCACACGCTGCTCCCACAATCTGGACAGAGTTTTTTAAAAAAATCATCGGTACCATCTTCTCACTGCTAACAAAACTGTGTCATTTCTGGAGAAAAACCAGAAATAGGAATGCAGAGGGGAGAATGTCAGCCCTCATATTACTAGGCTTGGAAAACATGGGCACAGGCATGGAGCTGCACCTGATCCCAGTGAGCTGTTTTGCAAAGGAAGAACAAATAGCTGACTTCAGCCTCACTGGCTTGGTGAATAACGTGCTGTTTTATTCACAGGTCACTGAAATTATTTAAGTAAAACCCTACAAAAATGAATTTAAATTGTTTTATTTTTCAGGAAAAAGAATTCTCAAGGTTTGATAAACAGCTATTTTACCTTTCTCTTTAGAGCGTTGCTAAATGATTTGAAAAATACATTGCTGCATTTCAGATTTTGCTTAGGAGCTCTTCACATTTGTAAATGCTTCCTGTCATCTAAGTCATTAACTCATTGGTATTTATGAGCTACCAGCTTTGATCCCGGCCAATACAACATATTGAAGTTCTCTTCGATACATATATTTAACATTTTAGCAGCGTCAGCAGGTCTATATTGATCAGTAATTCTTACTTTAACTTTTGTGTGTTCAACGTGGATCCATATGTGTTAGAATTACGGCTTGGAAGTGATCTTACTGATCTGGGTGAATTATATCATTGGGCAGCTGAAGATGCTGAGACTGGACTTGCAAGAGTCACTCATCTGGCCTTTCAGAAGCCACAATTTTATCCCTGGTCTCATGATTCCCGAATTCAATATCTTCCCACAGAGAACATTCTCAGATCTTTATTTTCCTTGATATTTTGAAGGTGACATCAATTTTGGTGCCAACATGAAGCAGGAAGCCCTGCATGCTACACATTAAAGTAACTTGATAACCCAAGGAAATCCCCACATTAAATCAAGTGGAGGGGCAAACCTTAAAATTCTACTTTAGCCAGTTGGACATCATAATCAGTTTCCTATGCCCTTCTGGCCATTATATCTTATTGGCTTCTGATTCAAAGTTCACTAGAATGCATTTGCTTTCTACATACTCTTTCCACAGCCAATGTTGTTTAAATGAGATCCTAACTTATTCGTAAAATATGTGTTTTTGTTTGTCAATTTTGTGGCTAAGAAAAATGTAGAAATACAGTGTGCTTGGCATGGGTGAAAAAGCCCTGGATAAGGAGCTAGGAACTTGAAACTTAGACACTTTTATTTATCCTACTAATATAAAATATTTACTTACTTGAATCCTAGGAAAAGCCACTGAAGCCAGATCCAGGACAAGAGTAGAATAATAATAGCAGCTGGGAAGGAAAATATAAACCATGATCCAAAGTTGAGGCACTGGCAGCCAGGATAGCGTCTGTGAAAATACAGAGAGGTGTTCAGGGAAGGAGGGACCAGTGGAACCCTTTGTGATGGTCACTGAGAAGCAGAAGCCCACCTTTCCCGTGCTGCTGGCCAAGAAGGAAGTCCTGGGATGTACTCACCACTAAGTAGAGTAGTTTTACTGCTTGTCTCCTGACTTGATTCTGTAACTGCATAATTATTGCTGCATCCCACAAAAGCAAGAATGGGCATGTTTTGATTTGTGTTCCCTACATTCAATCTCTAAGGAAGTGCTTGTGAGAAAATGCAGCACAGTACTTGATATTCATTAAATGTGTATGAGGGGGAGTGTGTTTTGTTGTTACTACTTACATCATCAGTGAATGAGGAAAGACAAATAAGCAGGCTTGGGAACAGGCAAACATTAACAGGACTAAGTGTTCCCATTTTACCTTGGTAGCTGGAACCCCTGGGACCTTCGAAGGAACTGTGATCCAGCCCATCTCATGTCTCCTGGCCGTTTTCCCCTCTGATTCTTCAGCCCTGCAACCATCTCACCAGGCATGCGACAGCCCTTTCTTCCTAGAACTAGATCGTGCCTAGTGGCTCGGTCAAATGGAATGACACCAGGCCAGGTAAAAACAATAAAAAGATTCTATGGAAAACATCAACTTTTTCCTTTAGCTTTTCTAGTTATTTTCAACTTTTAAATTCACATAATAACAGAAAAACAGCAACAGAAAATGAAGGTCAGATAGGAGCACAGTGTCTTTGGTAACCTCACATTCGTTGTTCTAAAATGTAGTCTAAATACCAAATAAATTCTCATAGAGTCATTCATTTTATAACTACAGAAAAAAACAATGGGAAATTTGAGAAACAGGTGTCTTTAATATTTTTTTTCTTGAGGCCATAACACAAAGCCAGAGCTGGAAATCTAAAAAATATAGAAAATGTATAAAAGTAATAAAAACATCATTAACGTATTTTAAATAATTTTGAAATCATAAAATATATAGACCTTTATAAAAACAGATTTTCAATGCTTGTTCTATTTAAATCATACCTTGTATTTTGTCATTTAAAAAAGATTACGTAAATAAATAAAATGCTTCATGCTACATCTATGTAGCAAATTTATGTATTTCAGAGTGTTTCTTCTTCAACTTTAAGATGGTCCTTAGGTGATGCAAATACTTGAAAACAATAATAATAGGTTCTCAAAACTCCAGAATTTTAATGTGTTGTATAATTTTCTTTGAGCCTATGAAAAGTTACAAATCTTCCTGAGCCCAAGAGTTATCCTTAGCAACTTGAGGACAATTTTTATCTATCTTGAAGAGATGCAAAGATTAGCTTCCATATGAACGCAATTAGAAAGTGGCAAATAACAATGAGAAATGTTGGCAAATACATAGAATTGGATGAGTGGAAAAATGCTTTATCACATCCACGAGGCTCTATTGAAAATTGCTCATTTTTGAAAAATGTTTATCATCTTCAGTTGGAAAATAAAATAAGGAATAAAAGGCTTGAGGTGATTTCCCATCAACTTATTAGACTTGGATTACAAAATGACCTGTGTTATTATGTTCAGCAAGCCTAATGACATCCAGAAATACTACTTGGATTAGGTTTAGAACAATGTCTCCAGGCCTAATTTAATTTTTCACCATCTGTGACTCATACCTTGAAATCTGGCTGCATTGCTCTATCTGCCCACGGGAGAAAATCCTGTAAAATTTGCTTGACTAAAGAGGGGCTTTTCTGAATTTTTGCTTGGAGGGATAGTTTGTTTAAAAAAATGAAATCCTAAAAAAGTTAAATTTTGTTATTTTCTTTTTCTTTTTTTCTTCACTAGGTAAGGAAATATATAAACAACCACATAGTACTGTGACCTTTATCATCATAACTTTTACCCTTAGACCTACAGTGAATATTGTGAATAAATAATGGAATGAATGGCATACTCTAAGGAATTAATTTTGGTGTGATGTTCCTTTTTCCACTTTTTTTCATATCCTACAAATAAAGTGACTGCAAACATGTGCCTCAAGCAAATATAGATTTCTTCTATCATGAACTATGCTAAGAAATTTAACTCTGATAAAAATCCTTTTCTTTCATCCAACACTGTTTTGTTGTCCACCATGCAAGTACTCATCTGGCCATTGGCAACACAGTGGTGAATGAGATGGATGTGGTCCAGGTTCTCATGCAGTTTGCATGAAAATGAGGCACACAGGTAATAAACAGATAAGCATATAATAAAATAGACAATAAAACAGAATAATGTAATATTAGAGGAAGGAAGAAATTTTACATGATATGGTCAGGGTAGGTGATGTTTGAGATGAGATCTAAATAGCAAGAAATTGTGTGAATAATTGGGAAACAGTATTCCAGAGAGAAGAAATGGTAGGTACAAAAGCCTTGATTTAGGAATGAGTGTGGCATGTTTGTGGACCAGAGAGAGCAGGGAAGAGGTGCAGATCGAGGATGCTGTCTTGCGTGTGTTGATTAGAAATGTCCGTTACTTTTCCGAGTGGTCATGTTGGATAGGTAGCGAGATAAGTGAGTCTGGAATTCAGAGGATAGGGCAGGGATAGAGATATAAAATTGGTAGTTATCAGCAGATAGGCAGCTTCGTAAACAATGAAAATGGGTATGATAATTTAGGGAGTAAGTGGAGTTGTAGAAGTTAAGAGGAACTGGCAGTACACCCAGGGGCACGCTAAGTTTTAGAGGTCAGGCAGAGGTGTAGGAAGGAGCGGATGAGCTAAGCACTTTTAATTCTAACAGAAATCCTGTGAGGAAAGCATTAATATCCATTGCACAGGAAGAAAGAAACAGTTAAGGGGATTAAGTGGATTGCTCAAGGTCACAGATTGTGCAGTCAGTCAAGCTGGATTTTTAACCCAGGAAAAGTTTAAAACACAACCTCGTTTTGTTAACCCCTCAGGCCCTTAACTTCAGCTCCCAGGTGAAAACAGAAAAATGCCATATATGTTGCAAAAAATATCCATGGGCTAGAGTACAGATTTTATGTTTTAAGGGCATTTTAAAACAACTATAGAAATGATTGTATCATAACTCAGAGACATGTTTAACCTAAAGCACTGTACACATCACTGTTGACACTTAGGAAGATAACGTTGTCACTGCAGCTGTTATGCCCAACTACAAATGACGAATAACTTTAATACCAATGAAATACACAGAAACGGCTTCAAAAGAGTGAAGGCAGTCGTGGTAATTTATAGCCTTTTCATAGATTTTGGCCATTAAGAGTCACAATAAGCTAGTATCTACCACACTGATGACAGTCTTTTTGACTAATGACAGAATCGATTATTTCTGAGACAAAGACACTTCAGTTTTATATGTGTATACTTCCAGAAGTTGCTTTTCCAAATGTTAACTATTTGTTATTAAAGATCCAGGCTTAGACTTCTAACAGCAATAGCAAAAATAGAAGCAGTGGAAATAACAATAGCTAGCATTGTTGACAAGTCGATATGTGCCAGGCTCTCTGCTAGAGCTACATTGTCCCCATTATGCCATTGAATCCTCACAATAATGTTATACGTTTTAGTATTGTCCCCATTTTACAGATGAGGAAACTGATGTTCAGAGAAGTTAAACTAATATATGGTAGGCTTAAAATTTGAACTAAGGTGTAAATCCAAACTCTGTGATGTTTAAATTTCTTTTTTTTTTTTAATGTTTTTAATATCAGAATATTATGGGGGAACAAACATTTTCGTTGCATATAATGCCTTTGCCTCACCCACGCCAGGGCTACAAGTGTGCCCTTCCCCCATGCAGTGGGCTGCACATCCATTAGTTGTGAGTTTACCCACTCCCTCATCCCCTCCCGCCTGACCAGCTCCCAGTGACTATTACTACCATGTGAACAACTTAGTGTTGATCAGTTAGTACCAATTTGATGGTGAGTACACGTGGTGCTTGTTTTTCCATTCTTGTGATACTTTACTTGGAAGGATGGGCTCAAGCTCTATCCAGGATAATATAAGAGGTGCTAGTTCACCATTGTTTTTTTTTTGTGGAGTAGAACTCCATGGTATACGTATACCACATTATCTTAATCCACTCATGTATTGGTGGGCACTTGGGTTGTTTCCACATCTTTGCAATTGTGAATTGTGCTGCTATAAATGTGCAAGTGCAGATGTCTTTATTATAGAATGTCTTTTTTTCCTTTGGGTAGATGGGATTGCTGGATCAAATGGTATTACTGTTTTTAGCTCTTGGAGTGACTCCAGCCAATGGTTGGTCTGACAGGGTGAAACAGCTGGTCTTTCAAGAACCGGAGTAGGAAGTAATGGGTTAAATACAGAATAGTGTTTATTAACCATAATGTTACGAAAGGAGATTAGGTGGTGACTGGAAGAGTATATCAGTAGAGAAGAAGGGGAAAAGGGTCAGGTAGAAAGCATTAAGCAAACAGGATTTTCCTAATGGAAGAGCCAATAAAAACCCAATGAATCTGCAAGATTACAACAGTAGGTGGTGGAACAAAGAATATTTCCAGAATGCCCTGCTCCAAGGACTTGTCAAGGCTAATGGTGAATTAATCACAGGGGAGAGTAGGGTTTTCAGAATTTAGGTGCCACAGCCCCTAGTTTCTAAGATTAAGAATGCAAGAAATATTTTATACTTCATAACTGGATTAGATAATTGGCTCAGTCTTGTTAATATTATTCTGAAATTCTACTTTCCAAACCACACATTAGCTCATGAGATTGGCAACAAAGGAATAGTTTAGTCTAACTGGCCACATCTCCAGCTTTGCTGATATTTTCAATAATATTTAGTATGTGTACATGTTTATATTTTATAAAAAGAAAATGCAACAAGTGAATGTGAATATTCATATAATTCTTACTTATCTCTGGCAGAAAATGTGCTTTCTTTTAGAAGTTTGCCATCATTGCACCCTCATCGGTGGTCACGGATCTGTGAGGCAGTGAAGCTACTGAAGGGAAAGTGCCCTGGGACTCAGGCCACCTGCCTCCACTGCCCCGCCCCTTGGCTGACTAGTCATCACCATTTAAACTACTGAGCCTCAATTTCCTCGTCTGTGAAATGAGCGAGATGCAGACATGATTTGAAATTCCTCTGTCTTCACTTGTTCTCTTCTTCCCTCCTGTTGCCACTAAGGAGGTTACATCCTTCTTTATCAAGACAAGCATCTCCATTCTTGCTTCTAATTTCATTCCATTTCCACTAGACTTTATTCTGATCAATGTTCTTTTTATTTTTTTCAAAATCTCATGTGTCTCTGTTTTTACTGTCCCCTTTCCCTGAATATAAAACCAGACAGACATCTCACCCTTATTCTAAATGAAGGTTCTGCCTCTGATCATACTATGTTTATTCTTCTCTTCTTTTCTTTGTCAAACTTGAAAGAACCTTTTAAACTTGCTTCCTTCCCCTCCCCACTACATAATCACTCCTTAACTGTTTTCGGTCTGATTCTTTTAATTTTTTCCCCTATGTGACCATTTCCACACTCAAGAATTTAATTTTTGCTTTTATGTATATAGACCCCCCAAATGTATATTAACTCAAATAGTACATTTGCAAATGCCTGCTTAAAATCTCCTGTGGATAGACTTTCTGCAGGCCATTTCAATGGATCCAAATTCAAATTTATTAATTTCTCCAGTGAATTTGCACTTCCCCATGTCTTCTCAAGGAGTTCATGGTATCATCATCTATCCAGCCTTATGGAAAAAAGTCCCCAGAGTTGCCCTAACCCCTCCTTATCCTTGAATCCTCACACCTAATTACTCACGACCTTTTGACATTATGGTGTCTCATGTCTAAATCCTTCTGTCACTTCACAACTAGCCTAGTTCTGCCTTTCATCATCTGTCTATACTTTGATCACGCACTCCTAATTGGTTTCTTGTCTCCAGACTCTTACAGCACCAATCTGCACATTGTTATTCTAAACTGCACAAAACATGCACAGATTATTCCACTCCTCCCCAAGAAAACCTGTTACAGACTTTGGAACTTTGATTTTATGAATTATTTTTTATCATTTACTCTATAAACATGGCGTTTACCTCTTTTAAAATTGTTTCAATATGTGTGAACCAAGGAATATTGCGCATAGCTACAGCCCTCTTTTAGGACACACCTTGAGTTCTGTTTCTAGGTAAGTAAATTTTTACCTTTGTGGTCTGACTGACCTTGGTTTTGTCTTCAATCTGCTAAATCAAGCCTCAATTTTCTCTGTTCTAATGATAATAATATTCAACATTTATTGAGCACATGCTTTGTGCCAGGCCCCAAGTGCTACTTATTTTATGTAAAACTAGAAACAGCCCTTTCAGAGAGAGATTATATTATTTTCTTCATTTTTCTGGAAAGATAACAAGCTTAGAGAGCTTAAGTAATTGTCTGAAGTCATCTAGCTGGTGAATGGAAGAGCTGCGATCTGAACACAAGTATTTTAACTCCAGAGCCTGTGTTTGTGATCACCATTATATACCAGCTCCACAGCAAGGATATAGAGGATATGTGCACACTATAGTGTATGTAAATTATCTGACAAGGACTCAATACCTGTCACTCTACCTTCCCATCTATATGTCAAAAAACAAATGTTATTATGTTTACAAATTTTAATGGTTCTCACATACATATGTTTTGTTTAGACAATCAGATGGAATCTTCTTCCTGGCATGTTTATTTTTTGTATTCTTTAATAGAATTTAAAATGGTGCACTGCACCTTGTCAATCAATAAATGTTTGTTGATTGACTAAGTGAATGAATAGAGGTCTGCTTTTATTTCCACTGAATAACTTTCAGCTTTCTCAGAATTTGTTATTAGTTTCTTTGTGTAGAAAAAAGAACAAAAGACATAAGGGCATTATTATTATTATTATTATATAGACATTATATACAAAGACATTTTATATAAAGATATAATATATATACATGAATATCTCAAAAGAATAGATAGAGCTTCAGAGTATGTTATACAATCTCTTCCTCCATTAGTTTATTTATAAAATGTCACCTTTATCCAAATGTAAATAGCAGGATACCATTGACTCTGAGGTTTCATGTACTGTTTGGAGCTGGGAGAGATCCAAAATGAAATTGTTCAAAATGATCATTGATACTGCTCAAAAAGATGGCAAGTAGTGTCAAGATAGCATTACTGTAGTAGATATGTAGATAAAGGGCCATTTCTCTCCAGCTCCAAACATCTGAACAAAGAATATATGTTTTGGAATTCTAAGCTTTTATAACAGTTTCCAATGAAACTGAATGCATTCCATTCCCTTGTTGCTTTAGGATGCTATTGTATTTTGGAGGGCCAACAGTTTTTTTCAAAGTTCATTCAATATCTAGCTTACATAAGCTATCAATTATATTTTTTCACATAGGGTATGTTTTCTTTTATATTCCAGTATTTTATATCAAAAAAGGATTCTTTGAGTTTTTTCCACTTTGCATATAATTCCTAATGTAAAGGCAACCTTGTGAAGAAAAAAACACTAAATTTCAAAGCACATTTTAAGCATTCCCTAAATTTAAAGTGCTTTTTAATGATTAGGAGAATTAGAACATTACACACTAGGGAAAATAGTTACTGAAACATTTTGTTCAAAGTGCTATAATGTTCTCAATCTGTTGTTACAAACGGATAAATGCATCCAAAGAGTAAAGGAAAACGTTAAATAAAACAGGAAATTTGGTTGATACACTGTACAAGACACAAAGACCAAGGGAAAACTCAGTATGAATCATTTCAACTGTAACAAGTAATTCCTTCCACAGGAATGGTGGAAACCATCAGTTCTATAACATTAATAAAGATAAAACAATAAGAATTTGGTCTAAATGTTAGGAAAAAAAACTCATACAGGGGATTAAGATGTGGAATCTCTTTCCTTGGGGAATTCATGAGAAAGGATGTAAATCTAGCTTTCAGAAAGGGATCAGGTGTATTTCCTGTCTTGAATTAGGGGATATATTAGATAAATCCTCTCTGGCACTGTGAATTTCAGAAGTATCTTTTATAAACCAAAAGTCTTTTAAAAGTTTCTTTCTAAATTGGTTGTTGTAGTATGCATGATGGATGTGTATTCATAGGAACAATAAGTACACACGAAGGTCTGATCCTAAACTTTTACATCAATGTTCTTTGTACGCAAGTTCCCATTCTTTCTAGAATGAAGATTGACATTTTTTGAGTTTTTGATTTCTTGGAATATATGTGCATGAAGAATATTTTGCAAATAATTTCAGAAAGTTCATAGAGTCTGTGAATCCATTTTCTAGGGTGTAGCTTTCCTGCCTCTGAGCCCTAATTTTTCTGTGATCCGAAGTCTTGTTCTTGGGCTTACTCAATGCTACAAACCTTCTTGGAACTCTATTATCTGTCCTTTTAGTAGAACCAGTCTGACATTTCCGACATTTCTTATTACTGACGTTTCTTATAATTGTGCAATCCTTCAAATCTTTTTTGAATTTAAGCACTAAGTTTTCCGTAATTGGTACCTCTGTTCACCACTCATTATTTAAGTTCAAATGCCAGTCCCCAAACTCTACATAAATTGTCCCATGATAATAATTTTTCTTCACTTTAGCTAAGTACCATTCCGGTATTATTTGCAATGAAAAGTGTCCTCCCTGTTTGATTAGAGTTATCAGGCTAACGATCACTTAACTCTGGCTAAGAGTTATTTCCTCTGAGCTGACCTGGGGAATCTGTAGGCACAGGTTAATTCAGTATGTCCTGATTATTTAAATCTCAGTACAAAGGAAGGTCTGTAAGCTTATAGATGTCCTGATGGAAAAAACAAAAGGGAGTTAACGTAGGATTACGTTGTCCTTGGATTCTCTGAATCAGGTGAGAATAATTTTTATAATTTATGTGCTGCCCATTTGTTAAATCACCAATTCAATAATGTTACTTACGTATTGAAATGCTCAGAGAAGATCAGGTTGGTGGAGGTACCCGTGATGGTTGTCAGTCCACCAATGGTAGAAGAGTAAGCAATGCATAAACACATTAGTTTACACATCATGTGGTTTTTCTTTGTTCGATATTTGTTTCCTGTGCCTGAGTTCTGTACAACAACAACAAAATACCATGAGAACAGTCCTATTTGTGGTCATAACAAGCAGTAACAACATTTGTTATGGACTGAATATTTGTGCCCTCCCCCCAATTCATATGTTGAATCCCTAACTCCTGATGTGATAGTATTTGGAGATGGGGCATTCAGAAGGTAATTGGGGTTAGACAAGGTCATGAGGATGGGGTCCTGGTCTGATGAGATTAAAGCTTAATGTCTCTCTGTATGCCATGTGAGAAGGTGGCCATCTGCAACCCCAAGAGAGATCCCTCACCAGACACCAACCCTGCCAGATTTAATCTAGTCTCCAGAACTGTGAGAAATAAATTTTTTTTGTTGTTGTTTAAGTCACCCAGCCTGTGGTATTTTGTTATGGCAACCTGAACTGACTAGTACAGTGCCTATCTTTCCATCAATAGAAGTGTTAACAATAAGAACCATTTAAACTGAAACCACTGAGATATTTTACAAATATAATTTCATTTATTCTCTCATCCTTCTTTTTTGTGTCTGACCAAACTCTTCCCTCATGTCTTCCCTTCTTACCACTACTCCCACAGCTTTCCATTGTTTTTTTGCTAATATATTGGTGGTACATGGTCAGTAAGTTCCTTAACCTCCTTTTGGAGAGTTTTCCCACTTTGGTACCTAATGCATGGTCCCCAGAGGATACCACTCCTGACGTTGAATGTTTTCAACCCCATATGCCTCAGAATTGAGGGGCGAAGTTAGTGTCCTCCCTGCTCCCTACTATCTTTTCCAGAACATGAATCCTCTACTCACTCAAAATAAATCCATTTTTCTCCAAGGATCATGTAATTTGGGTGTGTCTTTCCCTATTCTTTTGACCATGACATTCTGATCTCCTGGTCACCCACTGCTGTCATTTAAGATAACATTTGCACTTGGCATACGGTCATCTTCTGTACTCCAAATCCAGTCAGCATCTGGATGGCTATACCATGTTCATGAATAACTTTTCAAATATCCCGGCCTCACAGATTTTTGACCTCATTTCCAAATACCTTCAATTCTACTCCACCTCAGTCACCCCCTCCCACATTTACACCTGGGACAGTGGCACATCCTCAAATGGTTCCACCTGGGAAATCACTATTCCAAATGTAAGTGTTTTCTTTGAGAGTAGGACTTCCTAGGGTGCAAACCAAAAGCAACTTCATTATTTCTCTCACCCATGGCCCATACAAACACACTTTGTTGGTTTGATTCTTGCTGTTCCTATAGTGAAATCCAGGGAAGAACTAACAAGTTTTCTAGTCATTTCATTTAATAAATAGATTTTTGGTCATGTTTAGTCAAAAGAGAAGCTTCATTTCAATAGCTGAAATAAGCAGTGCCCCATTTAATTAAAAAAGTCCCGACTTTATTTAAAGTTAAACGATCTTTTCTCCCCAGATCAGGCCTGCCTGAAAGCCCATACTTCGAAGGAGGTTTGTGAGTTTGGCATTCCCTCTACATTCCCCGGCAATTCTAATTCCTCCCACCACTTGCTAGACTCAGTTTCTAAATCGTCCATATTTGCGGTGTTGGGAGAAGGACAGGATCAGGAGAAGAGTGGTAAGGATTAGGAGAGGTCTTATTTGAGTGGCATATGAATTAAGATATGACATTAGTACTCTCCAGGCTTGGTGGGTATTCAAAATGACTCCATCTGAGGGCACTTGTATGGGTTTTTAAGAGGCTTTTATCACTCAGATAAGAACATCAGATTGTTCCTCCTTCTGTGTGGGTAATGTATCTCTTCCACCTGGTTGCTAGTTATCTTTTGTCTTTTTGTGTTCATATATTTCAAAAATACATTTGGACTTTTCCTTAAGACTGCAGTATGTAGAATAGGTCTGAAACAGGCAAGAATAGATGCAAGAAGACACATAAGGAAGTTACAGCAACTCGTATTTCATTTTCTTTATCCATTCATCCATCAATGGAAACTTATGTTGTTTCCATATCTTGGCTATTGTAAATAATGCTGCAATGAGTATGTGGGTGCAGATATCTCTCTGACATACTTATTTCATTTCGTTTGTATATATACCTGGATTTGAGGTTGCTGGATTACATATAATTCTATTTTTTAATTTTTTGAGGAATCTCTATAGTGTTTTCCACAGTAGCTGTACTGATTTACATTCCCACCAACAGTATACAAGGATTACATTTTCTCCAGGATCAACAGAAGAAATGTCCTCTTCCATACAGATAGGCATGCTGTCTGAGACATTAGCATTGAAAGATCCTTTTCAGAAGTCATGACAAGGAAAAAATTACCACCCACTAAAAGTCATCATGGATGGGAAATGCCATTTAGCATGGCAGGGTCAGGTGCATTGGATTCTAATTTACCTTTTACTTTCTAATTAACTTAAAGGTCAGCCTCCAAAGGAATCTATGCTTCAAACAAAATAAATT